CAGTTGACTTTCTTATGAAGTTAGTGATGACAAGGACCACCTCCTAACCCAATGATTAAAACATTCACGATATAACAGCGTGAAAATGATATTGAATAGATATGAGGCTACAAACACTTTGCATTGCCACAATAAGGAGTATATCACAGGCTTTTTTTAAAGTCTTCAAAGAGTAATCTTTACGTTTTTGATGTAAGTAATAATAATAATAATAATATGGTGGTGATGATGATCACTTTATTCCAAACAATTCTTGATCCAACTTGGAATTCTCAGTATGTAAAACTGTAACAAAAATATACTCCTTTACACAATTTTGAAATAGTGTTGGTCATAGTAATTCAAGCTATGTAAACAATATGAGTAACGAGGAAAATTTTTTTTGAAATAGTGGAGAATATTTGTAGATCAGGTGGATGGTCTTGGTTGTATTAAGTTCTCTGAGCTGGGTTGATTAAACAACCCAACTCAGAGAACACAATACAACCAAAATTTCTTTTTAATGGTTTAAATATTGGAAAGACATCATTTATGCTTACAAAGTTGATAAGCGAGTTATGTCCTAGAACTTTTTTCCTCATATAAGATGGGTGCTAGGTAAGGCACAGTCGAATTCTTGTATTCAGCTGTACGAGCGTACAGTCATATGTAATTTTTTCTTGCCCTCCGTGAGGAGATACAAGGAAAGACCTGTGAATAAAGTAGACGTTGAGCATCAGACAAGATAAATGTAGCTAATTGCCTGCTTGAACTTAAATGTCGGTCAGCTACAGCGTTAATCAGTTGAGCCAGAGACATAGCGCTTACCCCCTACTGATAGCTTTCAAAGCCATACAACATAATATAGTCTTCTTTTTTAGTAGACCAGAAAAGATTAACGGGTGACAACAAAAACGAATAGGTAAAATACAGGAATTAATAAATTCTAAAAGTAGAGGATGAGTTATACCAGTTTCAGTTTTTTTTGCATAACTTCAGACGAAATATTTTCCTGGGAGTCAACAAGATATGAAATGACCAACAAAGATCAAACGAAAAACTCAATTCAAGATAGGTAGCACTGAACATACTTTCTACAGCAATACATATGTCATGAAACAGAAGCAGATCACATAAGTCTTGTTTATGCCCGAGGTTAAAGTTAACAGTCTCACACTTATATGGGTTTAGCTAAAGCCTAGTTGAGAAAGACTACAAGCCAACTTCAGGCAAACAAAACATTCAAACAAGATCAACCTAAGCAAAACGTAACTCGCACACAAACCACCACGAGCGTCATGAGTACACCTAATAAAACTAGTTTTGGCGGAATAAGGTACGTCATGCAAAAGAAAGAAAACAGAAATCGAGAAAGTACTGCATCTTGAGGCACACCGGTGATACAGTAGAGCGGTCTGTTTTATAAACAGCATAATATCTTCTTTTAGAAAAATAAAAATACTCCGGTGTGTAAACCATGGCTCAGCATGAGCAGTGGAAATATTATTTAACAAGAGCGCTCTGGGAATAGAGTCAAAGGCAAATAAGTAATCTCAGAAGACGCAGAGAACATGATAAGCACCTTTGCCCATACTACAAACAAAATGATGATGCAAGACAGTGGTGGTATATTCCACGTGTTTCCTCTATCCAAAATGTCTACATTATCAAAATTGAACTCATATCCATAATTATCCACATGCATTGAAATGAGTGATGAAATGTCATCAAGTTGAATAGCCAATTGGTGTTCATGTAGACGAAGGCGAAGAGGGCGACCACTCTGTCCAATGTTGTGTTGAATACAGTTCTACGACAGACAAGACATCTCTATACGACCAATAGTCTCAATTCCGGAAACTCCAACATACAACATATCAAGAGAACTTTCGCAAAACCTGAAACACGTCGTTCAATCATGCGGACATTCTATCAGACCACCAACAGAATTCTTAGAGCATTAACATAAAAAACGGCGAATTAATGGTATCCTTCGATGTCACAGCACTATACACTTCCAACGAACCCCAATTGGTCAAGGAAACTATATCCCTCTTGCTCAATGAAGACAAAAACCTTTCAGAACACACAAAGCTCAAATGTTCAAGTTTGATGAAACTCATCGATCTTTGTCTGACAATATACTTCCAATTCAATGGCAAGATATACAAACAGATGTAAGGAACTCCAATGGGATCACTGAAATCCGGACTAGTTACTGAAGCAGTGATGCAAAGACTGGAAGCCATCATTCTACCTGTGATCAAACCAAAAATTTGGATTCGCTATGTGGACGACACTTTTGTCATCATTAAAAAAGATGATACAGAGAAAATTCACAGTTTGATCAACAACGTTTTCAATGACATCAAATTCAAAGTGAAGAAAGAGTCAAACAACCAACTACCACTCCTGGATGGTTCAGTCAGTAGAACAAATGCAGGAAAGCTGGAAACCTAAGTGTACGGGAAGCAAACACACACTTATCAAATCCCCAACTGCATACAATAGCAACAACCCAACAATACACAAAATCAGTTGCGTGCAGACTCTGTTCAAAACAGCGAGAAAACACTGCATTACAACAACTTCACGGAGAAGCGAAGAAAATTATTTGATGTCGATTCTAAAGAAAAACGGCTACCCGTGAAACGTTATCAGGAGATGCCTATCCCGTGCATCATCAACCACACAGTCATCGACAGAAACCAAAAGCGCATCATCCTACCATACATGAATAATATATCAGAAATCATGACAAGATTACTGAGACCACTTGGAATTGGTGTGGCTCATAAACCAACAAATTCCCTTCAAACACTATTTTGCAGACCAAAGGATCCAACAACCAGAGAAGACAAACCGAATATCATCTGCGAAATCAACTGCAATAACTGTAGTCAACACTACATTGGACAAAGTGGTCGCCCTCTTCGCCTTCGTCTACATGAACACCAATTGGCTATTCAACGTGATGACATTTCATCACTCATTTCAATGCATGTGGATAATTATGGATATGAATTCAATTTTGATAATGTAGAAATTTTGGATAGAGGAAACACAAAGAATATCAGAGAACTCCTAGAAGCTTGGCATTCAGGTCAGTCAGCAATCAATGGATGTACAGACATAGACCCAATCTACCAATCAATGAAAAGAAATGATGAACGACAGAAAGATCAGAGGTCAAGCAGAGGAACAGTTAACAGAAAAGTCTATGCAGTCAATGACACAACAGTCAAAGGAAATAATCAATCACAAACCAGTTCGTCAGGGCAAGCTAATAAATCACTCACAGAGAGATATTGACTGTTCAGTTCATACTGAAGTTAGAGCTGATGATGTCGCCTAGAAAGACGATGAAAGCTTCACGACTAAACGACCCGGCTCAGAGAGTACAATACAACCAAGACCACCAGGGTGAGCTGCAAATATTCTCCACCATTTCAAGAAACATTATAGTGATGGTTCGAAACTTAACATTTTATCTGGAAGAAGACTTAGAGATAGGTATAACTCTCACCTCCTAGTAAGCAGCGGGCCTCGTTTTTTCGGAAAACGATCTATTAAAGACATTTATTGGAGGAAAATATAAAATTTTTCAACATTTTTTTAAATATAAGGCTTGAAATACCATCAAGACCTAGGCTTTGGAATGGATTCAAGGATTTCAGGCACTTGAAACCTCATTTGTGCTAAAACCAGAGATGCAATTACACATTTGACTAAAGACACTAGAAAGGATAGAGTTAGCTTACAGACACATAAATGACTGATTTGATACGCAGACATCAGAACAACCTTTTTTTGCTACATGTTTTCATCAGTAAGCTCTTTGAATAATTTCCATATATTGGGAGATTTCTTACGCGACAGAAACTTCTGGTCGTATTTAGGTATTGTATTTCAGACTTTATTAAGTAGTTAAGTTCTTTAACACCAGGATGACCACTCACCTTATACCTTTCCTTTTCTCTCAGCAGCTTCTTGAGATGAGGATAGAAAAGTCTGTCAAATCTCATAAAGATTGTTCCATAAGGGCAGCAGATGTCCAGAAAAAATTTCAGGCAGCTCAGGATATCAGTGACAGTGTTCCCTAGAACTTTATCAACAAGTAAATCCCAGTATGTTTCTTTCAGCAAGTTTCTCAGAGGTAGTATATTGTCCTGTGAGTAGTATCTGCATTGGACTTTCTCGGAAAAGTATTCAAATGCCTTCTTAAGTAACATACTACATACTTTGGGCAAAACACGTATAACACAATAATCAGAAGTTAGCGGCGGAGGTCGTTAAGGGCTTTAATATATATATATATATATATATATATATATATATATATATATATATATATATATATATATATATACTAGAATCATTTGTAAGCATTAAATCTAGTGTGTTGTCAGGACAAGTAGAAAAGTTAACTAGATTTTGATGACTCAATGGTACAAGGAAACTGCAGTCACATGAAGTAAAATCTCAAATGACTATAGAGGCAAAGTTACCCAGAATCGGAGCAGCAAACCCAGTAAATTCATCGGAGAGAATTGATAAATCTGAGAAACTGCAGTCAGGTGTGACATAAACGTTTATGTAAATATGTTTGTATTTACTCAAGTGTTTTGGACATTTATTAGTGATTGTCAATGAATACAAGCAAATACTTGGTAATCAAATAGCACTGTTTGCCTAAATACAAATCCATAGGGAATAGCTCTTAAAAAATAACTGAATACATAGCGAGAAAGCGAAATTTTTTAATGTTATTGCTTGTATTACACCGCCGTTGATTGGACCGAATTCATCAGTCTCTGTTGGCATATGGGCTCCTGTGCGGATGCCTTGATACTGCTTGTGCCTCAATGATGTATAGTAATGATGGGCAGTAGGAGGCGGATACATCCAGCTGACGAGCCCTAAATAGGACGAAATGGGCATCCTGGATTCCACTGCTAGCCGCTGCCCATCATTACTATACATAATTGAAATTTCTGAGATGAAAAATAATGATAACTTACTGATTTTTGTAAAGGAGATACTGCTTTCGATGAATCTTGTTGTTGTAACTGTTTCTGCTGATATGACTGCCAAACGCTTCGTGATACACAACCTTTTGGAATATCTTGATTTGGATTTGCACGTTCATACACAGAACCCTATGAACAAACAGTAATCAGAAAAATTTAACTTGTGTTAAATACGAGTTCACCTTAAACTACAGGAACGTCATTTTTTAAAATACTTTTTAAGCCACTAAAACTGTTATGCAAAGGTATCATTCTTTTTGCACTCGACAGAAATATTCAACTTGATATACTAGCAATACACCTAAAAACTTCAGTCAACATCTTAGTAGTTATAGTAGTAGTTAAAACGGTATGAACACAGAAAAAACTGCAACCAGTAAACACACATATGCATACAGGTTTATGATAGCTGACATAGGTATGTGCAGAATGTAGGGGAGTAACAAACTGATAATGCTGATATCTCCAGATTATCAGAAAATGGAAAATTATACAACAATCAATATATATATATATATATATATATATACATATATATATATATATATATACCACATGAAGTAATAACGTCATCTATCAAATACCCAAATGTTTTCAAACTATCAAATCTCCACTTGATTTCGATACGCATAAACCTGCATACAAAGACTGGGGCATATAGACTGTGAATATAACTATTCACCTACATAACTGTATACACACAAAGAAATGAAGAGGCAAGTAAAGTAAGTTGAAAAGAAAAAATGCAACTAACTTCCTAACGAATTTATACCTAGATGAAAATTTACAGAAAATAGAAGGAACGAATGGAAAACCACGTTCAATAAAAATAGGAATGCAAGTGTTTTAAACTTAAGTATCTGGTAACAACAACCAAGAAAAATTCAAAGGTGGTTATGCAGAAGGAAACTTGAACGGACAGGATCATTCCACGTTCTTATTACAATAGTTACAAAGGGAATCCAAAGTAAAAACTTGCAGCAAAGACCGTGACCTACTTTAAATAAACACGAACAGAAGTTTGTAGTAGGAATGAATACACTTAAAACTATTCCTATTTGCAAGGACATACAAGAGTATACATGATCATGAAGCTTCAACTAAACACCACAGTGTGCTTACGTTATGGCTGTGAATCCGATTTGTAAATGCTAAGCATCTATTCGATAATTGGTGGTCATACACTGACAGTCTCTTAATCACAAGGTCTAGATACATTGGTTTCCCATGCACCACATCAGTGTTTAATTAATGCTAGACGTATAATTGATCCAACATATTGAAACAGCAGTGGTCGAGCAAAACCAAAACCATCTGTCCCATAAGAGTACTAATTGAGTGAATATTCAAACGGTCTCGTCTACCAGACGGATAACAATCTGAGAAAGAATCTGAATTAAAAGTTAGTATGTTACAGCACTTGAGTACGAACATCATAATCCACACCCAGAAACCTTACCCACATATGACCTTTGAACTGATGAAATACAATGAAGAGAAATCTATGATGATCTTCAGGGGCTACAAATCTTCAAATCTTTAAGCCTTTGCGCAAAAATTAAAAATGATGAATTTTATGGTGAAATGTAATACGAAAGCAAGAAGTGAAAAGTGCAATTAAAATTTAGTAACACTTCTGTAAAGACCAACTTTTCGCAAAATATTTACTATTTCTAAATGAATGAACTTAGACTTCAAGAAGTAAGTTTCAAGTAGATGAAAAAGAATTGCGCAAAGTCACACGAAATTTCAAAGCTTCCATAAGCCAAGTTCTTCATCACTCATCACTCTCACATGCTGACTACTAATCCAAAGACTGACTACAACCTACAGAATATTTTAATAAACACTCACACTACCTTCTAGGCTTAATCAACCGACTATTGGAGATGCAAAAATAGCTGCTTTTAAGGGAATGAGTAACTATTACTTAATAATAGAGCACAATTCACACAAAGTAACACACCGTTAAACAAACAGTCGTCATATGATATGAAATATTACAGTTAAATGAATAGAAAATATTAGTAGTGTAATTTTCATTTACTTTAGTTTAACCATACTGAGTATCTAATTCGTTCAATTTCCAGCCTTCAAAATGACTAAGTAAATCAATTCAAAATGAGTAGAATAAAAAGTCCAGGTATCACTCACATGCGTTCAAACTCATGACGATACTTATGACAAAAGACAATGAGAATGAGTTCATATATGATGGGCTTAAACACCTCTTATAGTAGTATTCATTTCGCAAATTGAGTACCAATCAATTAAAAAAACGTCTCACAAGTATGTCAAGTTACTAAAGAACTGAGAGCTAAGCTATTATCTGAGGTGGTTTACTTCAAGCGATTTAAGTAAGAAATATTTACTCTCTTCAGTGTTGTTCAATTTCGCCAGTGATCTACCCCAGTTATATTTTCTCTGACATCCTCCCCACCCCCTACAGTGATGCATCTTTCACTCATACTTTTTAACTGACATGGAATACTAACATGAAAGTTTTGAGAAGTGAAGTGACTTGTCGCACCTACCATATGAAAGGTATTGTCTGATAACTAAACCCAAACGATCGCCAGCTTGTAACTACCACTAAGAGATTTCCCGGATCGATCAGTCCAATAATTTAAAAAGGTACATCAACCTTAGTGTATTAATGCTTAACAAAAAGATACTTGCAAAAACAACACATGTCAGGTGTGCTACCTCTTGTCTATCGAAATCAAGAGTGAAGCTCCGTTGTACACACTTTTTTTATTTACTACCGTGAGACAACTGTGAACCCTGAACAACATTTGAAGGTCACAGTTACCTAGTCACTGACGGTTTTAAAGCATCAGATATAGGATACGGAAAAGGTGAATGAGTACCATAAGGCTAAACATAATGCATTAAGTAAGCAATGTAAAAATTGATGAGATTGGGAAACTGTATGAAACACGATGGTTACCTCAGCATGTATCTTTATACACAAATCTGAATAAGTTTTAGAATGGTCAGACAAAGATGTGTCATTAGTACATGAAGTCTTCAACAGCTGCTATATGCAAAATGGCGAAATACAGGATTTGTTGAAAGGATCCAAAGAATATCTAAATCCTAGGGTTGGACAACTCACATTGGAGTGGATATTCGTAATCATTATTACGTTGTAAGAAGTGATCACCTTTTAATCAATACCTTTCATATCTTATCATTTCTGGATATTATTATCACTATATTTAGTTTTTCTCTGGTTCCTCTAGTGTGAATTTAGTTGAATATAACGACAAAACTGATATATCATTGAAACTGGTTGTCTGGTGTTTTTTTACTGGACGGCTAAACCATATCTGAATAGAAAAATACTGGTTGGTATCCAATGTAACACAAGTCCAATATTTAAAATAATTACACGATTAACTGATGCAGCAGGTAAGATCAAAAAGTGTAAAATTGAAAACATTCTCATGTTTTCACCATATTACGAAAAATCAAATATCAAAAAACAGTTTCGACAAAATCTGCCAACTTGGATACACGAAGTCAGTTTTTCAAACAAAATAATGTGCAAAAACTTCAAACTGACCTTAGGTATGAAATCATCTTCTGAATCATTGGAATTAACCCCTCGAGTGCTACAAACAGTTCCGGTAAGACTGCGTACTTTTGCAACAATTTCACACCAATCTAAATCTGTTTCACTTCTGGCTTGAATTGTGAGATGGACTGTCTGTAAAAAGGGGTAGGTGAGAGAGTTTTGTTAGATATTCAGCATTTCAACTGAATAGAACGATGAAAAAGAGTCTAAAGTGTCGTGAAATAACCACTGGTTGATTGGGCAAAGGTTATGAGCACTTGTTGACTAAACGGACAAATATGATTACGATAGAGAATGGTATGTTCGAGTATTTAGTGCTCACGACAACGAAATAATTAGTTAGTTCATTGCAGTGGATTGATGATTAGTCTTAAAATCCAGGTTGGGTAACTATCAAGTAACTTGCTTCGCTATGAATTTCCTGAAGTTCTAATCAGAAGTCATGACCTGCGGGGTCAACCATCACGGGGATCAGCCAGATTTCCACCATCTGCATTGGGTGATGGCTGCGGTATATTCCGAATTACTAGAAGTAGTACAATTAGACAAGTGGATTCCAACCCAATGTGTGGAAGGCAACACGCTCACTATGAGACCTGACTACCCCGAACTCGGTCCTCTGTGAGGTCATGGGTACTTACCGCTGAGCCCGAAACTAGAACGAAACAACCGTCAGCAGCTCCTAGGTTTTAAATAGTTTTCCAACTGATGTCACACCATGATGAAGTCACCCAGAAACCAATAAATCCATAAAACACCTAATTTGATCAGGAAGACTGGCATAGTGATCGTATTGACTCGTATACCCTATTTTATTGTTCACTTAAACAAAATTGCTACTAAAATACAATGAATGAAACTCAGAATTTTATAAATGAACGCAACCTAACTATAAATATACAGTTAACTAAGAATAGGAGCGAAGATCAGCAGGCGATTAATAACTTTTTACCAATGAATGTGAGGCTATATTCCTATTTACGACGACATATAAGCTGTTAAAAATTGTTGCCTATTAGTAGTGAGAAGAAAAGCAACTTTAGCAGGAAACTAGACATTAGAATGCAGTCAGTATCTTTAGAATAAGGCGAACGAAATTAGTTAGGAGCTTCATAATACTCTGAAATGAAGAATATCAATCAGTCGTCTAGAAAGTTTAAAGCTGTACAGCTCACTGGTTCTATGTTGCATTAATTTGAACAACTTCCCATCTATCTCCAAGTCGCCTTTTTATAGTAATTCACAATAACACAAATGAGACACATCTCACACCTCAGGGTCGAAATGCATTCAACAATTTTGTGCACGTTCGCGCAATGAGTTACACCTATTACGTGAGGAGGGCTAGTGATAATACTTGACTGCCCAGACCTCAGTAACTGGAGAAGTGTTCGAACCCACAGCCCACTGGTTAAAAGTCGACTGCCTAGACTAATGAGCTACATTTCAGCGTAAATCTGACGAAGATTCGTGAGACGCACAATTACCAAGATGATATCAACGTGAATTTGATACCGCGATATGATGCAACCTATTTAAGGAATCCATTTAGACACATCATTCAAAACTATTTACCCTGCAGTTTTATTATACACACAGGTTCTAGAAAACCCATCATTTTCTTCTTACCGTAGAATACCCAAAAACACCTGACTATATCGCTAATCCTACTTCTACACATACAAGTCAATAAGGAATGCGAATCAACGCAAAGTTTACCATTTATGAGTTTTGCCTCAGTGGAACAATGTCAAAACAATTAACATATCAACCTTGAACTAGCTTCATCATACTTTTATAACTGTAGTCCTGTTGTGGGCACTCTACTATTATATATATATATATATATATATATATATATATATATATCTTGTGCTGAATGGGTTGTAGTGCATCAAACAAAGATTTGTCACCGAATATATTGCGTAATTTAACTGAAAGTATCACCGACAAAGGCTTTTCAGCAATCTTTTTCTCTTCATAGTGGACATAAACATTTCGCCTACAGTGAATAACGTTCTCGATACTAAAGATTAATTTGTGCATTACATCCTTCTACTTGGTTTTACACTTACCTAGGTTGAAGATGTACTCGACGATGTATACAATCTTCCGAAGCGTTCAAGAAGCATCTATTGATTAGCCTTTTCAAAATGAGGTAGAATAAGTGCTCGATTGCTGAATTCCGCACTTCTGCGATTCAGAAACGCATCTTATATCTATGAAACAGTAATAGTTGATCCTAACATTTCACCTTCTACTGCTAGTTCATAAGTATATGAGAAAGTCCGCATTACAACAAGCCAAATATCTAAGTGAAAACTTTGCCGATAATGCATAGAGCAACACAAAATGTAGTAAATGAGTAACACTAAGTGATCTAAGTTACTCCGTTAATGGAGAAAAAGTGGTTTTACAGCACCTACTACATAGCATGAACAACAAATAGTTTGAAATAGTAATAGATACGGTACCACTAACTTACTCGACATAGCCGTTTCACAGTGTCAACATGTCTTGTATAAGCCATTTTGAAACTTTCGGATGATCCTTCTCCTTGCTGCACAAAAGAAAAAACATAATGTCCTAACTCAATAACACCATCTAAAAAATTATATTAAAAGTTTTCTTAAAAATGCAATAAGGGGGTAATGAAGAAAAACCTAATACAGACTTTGCGAGCTCCTCGGATGAATAATCGAGTAAGCACAGATAGAAGATTCAATTTTAAAACTTACAACTATGATTAAGTCGTTTCAAATCAAAGTGTATTGCGCGTAAAGCGGACACTGTTTGTCCTCCTAAAGTGTTGCTACCATATGACTTTTGCATTTAGCCTGTCCTCTGGACTCATCAAGTTAGAATACTCCTTTAGTGAAGCAACCTTAAGGCATTGATTACCACCCTAATTTAAACGCATGGAAAATAGAACGTCACACACTGACTCAAGCTGTCACACTTAGGAACAATACACAAAAGTAGAAATATAAAAAGAGAAGTGAGGAGAATAAGGGTACATAAGCGGCAAACAGTTAAGGTATATTATGTACTCAGGATTATGACAACAAAGAATGAAGCTATCCCACTCCAAGTCAACTTCCTTCGCAGCTCCTGAAACCTTGGGGGTTAATGTACATTCAGAGCCTGTACTTTCCTAAAGAATGTGGGAACAGTAAGAGGGAAACATAACCTACTGGTTACATATTCGTTTCCAAGCAGTTTTCGAAGATAATTGCTGTTTTATTGACATAGGACTTTGTTAAAAGCTAAAATTAAATACCAATATAGAGTAATCAGAATACACCCTTACTGGGATGCACGTGATACACTTTCCCAAATTACTCTCATGAAATGATTCCGGTAATATTGGTATCTTTTATCGGTCATCGATCAGGTTGTAATATAATCGTAATAGCTTATGACCGCACAATCCTACACATGAACAGTGCATCTTATGCATCAGGATCGATTGACTTCTTAGTACTATTTGGGCAAGCTGGGTACCTGTGATGATTTAGGTGGCAACTCCTTAAATAGTTAAAATATAACTCAACTTTGTATTCGTTAATAAAACTGCCTATGAGCCGAACCGAGGTATGATACTACCAATAAGCTTTCCACATTGGTGTGAACGGTATGGGAAAATAACCAAAGGCCAATGTATATATACAGAGTACCTACGTCATTTGATGACACCCCTATTCTAAACTGTAGGCAGATGATCAATAAAACTCAAGAACAGGTGCAGTCTGCAGTGATGCATTCAACAACCTAGGTTAAGAAAGACTTTTCCTATATACACGCTTACGATTAGGTTTAGTATAGTGTTCAGTCGCTTGGGATGGTTATCATAACTCTTTTGCGTTAAAAAAAGCGGGTACCACTTAGAACTGGTTCTTTTATAGTATGGCGCCGCCGTGATATTCGTTTGTCTATTAAGGGTCGCGTGTACTGCACAGCAGTCCGCTCTGTTCTACTGTATGGTTGTGAAACATGGCCATTGAAAGTGGAGGATACAAAAAGGCTTCAGGTGTTTGACCACCGTTGCCTTCGTAGTATAGGACGTATTCCGTGGTGTCACCATGTGAGTAATGCAGAAGTTAGGTGTAGAGTTTTGGGGAGAAGAGGTAAGTCAGTTGACGAGGTTGTGAACCTTCATCGACTGAGATGGTTGGGACACGTGTTACGTATGCCTAGTCACCGATTGCCTTATCACACAATGTTGGCTGAGGTGGGTCCAGGCTGGAAAAAGGCCCGAGGTGGCCACACTCAAACATGGCACCAATGTATGAAGTCTCTGACTGTTGGTTTAAGCCATGTAGGACGATGCAGACTAGGTGGTTGGGGTCCACGGGACAAGAGGAACCAGTGGTTGGAGACTCTAGGTGATATGGCTCAGAACCGAAGTCAGTGGCGCAGATGTATACACACATTATCCTCATCTTAACAACGCTATACCGAATCTCACCATTTTGTCACTCCTCTTTCCTTTCTTCTCGCACTTTATATTTCTTTTGACTGCATTCACTTATCTTCATCCTTCGCCTCACTACCTTTTTACTTGATGTGCTGATACGAGGTGTGGCAACTCGGACCGTTACGCAGTAATGCCTGGTCCTATGTTGATAATGATGATGATGATTTATAGTATCAGCAGAAAATTGTTATTGTTTTTTTTTAATGGAAAATGGACACCTACAGTTTCACTTCATGCAGTGGTGTGCTACTATGTACTGAAGGGGTCAGACAACGAAAAATGGAATAGTCGTTACATAAACTGAACTCGAAGAGCCTTCATTAATTTCGGATTTCTGCTATAAATTAGATAAGAAAAATACAACATTTACCACCGTTTTCTTACTGTAGGGCAAACATGGAAAAGACTCAAATCACTGAGTCTATATCTTTAGGACATCATTTTTGGACCTATAACGTGAGATAAAATGGAAATGCTAACGGAAATAAGCATCTGAAAGACAAAAGTGAAGATATGCGATCCGAAAACAAAGTACAGATGTGTATTTGACTATGAACCCCAATTAGCAAACGGAGCTGCGAATCTCCAAAATAACTGCAATATGTAAGTGAAAATACTGCAAGGCTAACTAACATACATCAGTAGTGCGAGTAGAGGGAATTTGTAGTTTTTGAGCTCTCGCTTTTACGTCTTGAGGCTAGGTTTTTCATGTTTGGTTACACTCCATCAGTTGTCGCAGAAGTCTATGCTTTTTCTGTTTATAGGATTGATTGTCTATTTGAAGGTACTTCTTGGGAATTGTAGCTTGGTTTGCTTCGGGAAGCGACAGAGCTGGAGATAAGATAAATTAACCTTTTGCAATTCCTGTTTTTGCAAGCATCTGTAAGTAAGCATTAGGCTTCATTTAAAAAGTAGTGAGAAATAGGGCGAGTGAGGATTGAAAAAGAAGAGTGAGAAGTACTTACGGAAAAATAAGTGTTGCCAGTAATAATATGCAGAAGAGACAGGTCTTCTTGCAGTTACTATAGTTGGGTAATACAGGAATGGATGGGAATACCTTCGGTTGCCACCGGCTAATGTTTATGGCAAGATGCTTGCCCCCACGTACTTATCCAGCAGTCATCTGAAGTAGTCAGCTGGCATCGCTGTGGCAACTTTCTTCCTTCCACAAGGGACACACCGTGTGTGAGGGGAAGTTAGATCTCTCTCGCCTTAGCCCTGTGGCTGGGTTTGCGAGTGGGGTTCTCAAGAAACTATGTTTCGGACTGATAATATTAACCTGTTAGTCCACTTGGTGAATGATCTTGTAGGCTGTTATTAGGTCGCCTCTTTTCTTTCAATAGGTGATTGCGAATAAGTTAGGCCAAGATGTTGAACACATTTTGTCTGTTATTCCGACAACGAACCACATCACCCATTTCAAGAGTACCCAAGTCTCTCTTTTTATAGGGGGGCTCTCATGTTGAACACCTCTAAGTGGTCTAATATAGGTTTTAAATACCATGAGGAATAATTCGGGGGTAAGCGCTTAAAGCTGTCTTCTTAGAAAGTGCATGATGGAGTCTTCTCTTACAGCAATTCCATTATAGTTGACACTAGTATCCAGTATGTTAGAGAAGTTTAGTCCTAGGTCCTTCTCTGTGGATACCTTGGTGACTGCCCAATTGTTGAGGGTGTAGCTGGTTTTCATCGCTTTCAGTGAGCAAAAATACGTTACCCTGCACTTCTTTAGATTAAAACTCAGACTATTCGCAGCTGACCAAGATTCCAGCTGCAGTAGATTGTCATGGAGTATCCTAGGTTCCTCTTCCCCACCCGTTGTCCTTCATGTTTTGATATCGGCAAAAAAATAAATAGCCGGACAGACTAACAATTTCATGGTTTTGATATTCAATGAAGTCAGTTACCATTCATGGCCCGAGCGAAAGAAACCAGAGAATTAAATTGGTCCTGAGTGTTGTAGCATATATCCTTAAATAATAACAGTAAACCATACGCCAATACAATGAAACCCTAATCAATAGATACGCGGAGTCCAAAGAACAGTCAACGTATCTATGACGTCCGAAGTATAGCTATTTTACTATTTTGAAGCTTAGAGGTAAATGGTTGAATTTTTGAACTTATTTCACGCCGGATATTACAAATACAAGTGAAGTTAAAATTTACACTGTTTCAGATTTCAAATACAAGTAGTCTTTTCGTATTAAGCTAAGTTTTATTGTCAGGAAATGAACCCTTAGGAAAGCACACTTGATACATAAACAAATGTTGATGTGAGAGACTGGGAGGTTCCCGACATATTTGGCCTGCCCTGAGAATATATATGATTATACGTGATTGCCAAAATTACACAACTTCCTAGTACACATAATAAACATGTTTGATGGTGAACAATAATTACATGTCACAATTCATCTTAGAAATTCTTGAAACCTAGTATACAATTCGTTTCTTCAACAGAAGATTGAGGAAACAAAGGTAGTGGAAGAAAAACACCACGGCTTCAGGCGTAAAATAGAAACAGGCATGCTCTTTGAGTGGTGATACTTACCCATGCTATCAATACAAATTTTGCAGGTGCGGAATCTACAACAACACGAACAAAGCCATAAAGGACTCTTCCATCGCAGAATCCATTCACAAACTCCTTCACATCATGTCCTAAAAACATTGAAAGACTCAATAGATAACGAAGGTATATATTTACCTTGATTTTTTACATCGAGTGTGTACGTTAGCCCCATATACCCGAAAATGATCCTGAAGTTTTCAGTGTAAATATTGAATAATACCATGAACATTTTCCATCCAGCACACAGTTAACAGCAGAGCCAAGGGCCTGTCCATTAGTATTTAAATCAATAGACATCAGAAATTAATGTAGTCAGGCGCCTAGATGAGACCTTCCAATATCCAATATTGATAGTGCGAGCGTAGAAAACTGGTAGTTTTTGATCTCTCGCGTCTAGTTCTAGACCTTGAACTCTCCTCACTTTCAAAATGCAGACGCTTAGTTTCCAGTCTTACCAATTTTCAATATCTCTTTGGCCAGAATGAATAAAACATTTAATCTCTTGCTAAACGGATAGGTGTCTCAGGTGGCTACCTGGTAAGACCTCTGCAACCTCAAAGGAAGTTTTCCTCTTCCAGACATGCACACTCCTCTCTAATCGATTGACAGATTCCCAGCTAAAATACCTAATAATTCTTGAACTGAGGTGATCAGTTCACACGCTTCAAGAACCACCCTCAATGTGGCAGACAAAAGCTGCACGCGCCCAGAAGCTTGAAGCTTGACAAGTAAGTTATATTAGATGAGATGGTTAAATAACGAGGACAATGCTTGATGATATGAATGAGATACATTTTTTGCCACACTTTACTGACAAGCATTTGTTGTCAACACCACTCTGTAACAACCATAGATGCACAGGTATGTGACGTATGGCTACCTCCAGCATCTTCTCTTCTCTTACAATCATCAACTTCATGTTGTAGCGTCACACTCCTCTAGGATCAATTGCCTTGCGTTTGACAAGATTCAACATTGGTGCTGACCTTGATAGTTTAACTGGACCCGCTAAGCTGAAGGCACCCGGTCAAGCATCCTCGCCATTTGGCACGCTATCACGTTACGTCGCACTGCTCGTTGTCGACCCACTAGCCAGTCAGTTGGAATGCATCGGTACCTTGGCATGGCCTCGCGAGTGTACTATTCCATCCGACTACGCTATTGCGTTCTTTCTTGGTCTCGTATTCGTGGTTGGCCTCTGTGTCTGTCAAGTTCGCATCAAAACAACTCCTAAAATGTCCTCAGACTTCGCTGCCTCGAGGCTTTTCCCTGGTGTCCTTCCACGTAAACTCGTTCGTTTAATGCGTAGTGTGGCATAATAGTATTATTTAGTGGCATTTCGTGGAACGTTGTCGAGCAAGCGATCACGTTCCCTTATGTGACGCTTGCAATAGACAAAATGAAATAAGGGCAAAAGTCACCACGGTGCCGAATTTTAGTTCCCATATTATCTGTCGTTCTGTTGGATATTTCAAAGATCACTGTTCTGTTGACAGGAAGCTGCCCGCTGATTTACAGCGCGGTAGCCGAATGTTCGGTGCCCTTTAGCTGCTGCTTATTCCCACTGAGGCATGTACATTGCAATTTTCGGTTATTTCGGTCCCCAAAGTGGAATTAGTGTGCCAAACCCATTGCAGATAAATACTTCGAGTTTGATGAGAGACCGGCGTTAAAGGACGGTGCAAAACTAGCAACGTGTTGGGGGTGGGAAAAAATCTATCTTAACTGGGTTGCATCCTTACAACCGATGAGCTCCTGGTAGATGACCTCATAATCCTCACTTATTTAAGCAGAAGTCATCATAAAGGTATGTTTGTGGAACCAAGCCAATCAACCCTTCCAATCGGCGTCACCGAAACTTCCGACGGCTGCACATTTAAGTTCATGATAGAGCTCTGAAGGAAAGATGCACGGACTGACCATACAGATAGGGTATCAGCTCTAAACAGGGAGTAATGTTGAAATTGTACGCCACTTTTCACGTGACCCTTGATTATCCTTTTGCTAGTTTTTTGTTTTGTTTAGACCATTATTATCATTACTATAGTAGTATAACGATCAATTCTATATGGATAATTTGAAGCTACATTGTAGCCTGCAGACTGTGTATTCCCATTCTTTTGGGCTACATACCTTTACCGTCAGTTGCAAACCCCACTTAAAGCCCACTTTAAGGATGGGACAATTGGAAGCAAAACGCTCAGAGGTAGATTGCTCCAGCTCTATCGATAAGAATGCAAGAGTTGGCTCCACTAATATTTTGGATTGTGGCCGAAACTCTACGCGTCATATAATGCAGATCCTGACGAACTCACATACCTCACACCTCTTGTCAGAGCTGAGGACATTATTTCGGTAATGAATCATAACATCAAGGAAAAGGGAAGAGAAACTGACAACATTAGGTCCACGGTAGATGAAATCAGGATGTTAGTTGAGGACTTCTAACCCCCAGCATATCTTCCTGGGAAACAACAGCCTAGCCCCAAACCTTATGAAAGAAGCTGAAACCCCAATAGAACACTTATCAACTGAAGCGACGAAAAGGCTGGCATCTTCTCAACAGCCCATGTTGCGTGATGTCCCAGATACCATATCTTCGGATGTTATCAAAAAAAAGGTACTAGTCCCATGCGGCGTGCAGGCTGTGCACTGTAACCGTAGGCGCCCCCGCAAAAAGGCAGCACAAATGGATTGCCCTATTCTTTTCAAGTTCACCACCTCACATGATGCTAAGTGGTTAATTGACTCTCAAGACCATATAAGACTAAATAGCAACTTCAAAACTACTACAGCTGTACATGACAAAAACCCATGTAAGCGTAGAAAGCAGAGGAAAAACAGTCGTACCGCCTCAATAAATGAAAACTCTGAAGGCACTGCATGCAGTGGGAAATAATCGGAGAGTGCAGCTGGAACCATAATCCTACTACGCCGGCCGCTCTGGTGGTAAAGCAATCTCAAGTGGAAGTGGACTTAAGTAAACCGGATTTTTTAATTTCTCCCGACACCCAACTATCGGTACCGGCTTCCCTGGGGTAACCGTGGACAAAAACCCGTTGGTTGACGATAGCGTCATTAAACACAGACCCACAGGTAAGACCCCACACTTAAGACCTACGAAGCTGTCGAAGAAATCCATCTTCAAACGCATTTTGTCTGACGACGGCGAAGAACACTTTGTGGCTAACACAGTTGCTATCGACAAAACCACTGCCGTATCCATGGGAAGTAGGGGAACTTTCAAAGAAAATCCACCCAAACGAAACGTTTCACACCTTACCTCAACCGTTGAAAAGGGAGGCATCCCGCATAAGACAATGCCCTAGAACACGTTTATCCGGCCGTCAGGGCCCCGACAGGATGCTATGTGACATAACGTATAACTTCCTGCCATACAAGTCACATAAACCTCATCCAAAGCCACACTGACAACGGGATAATCCTAGTCAGTACAATAGGGATATATATACTTCCACATCTAATACTATCCCCACGTTTGAGCCTCATCAAAACGTTTTTGGGGTCCCCCACAATATGTACGGCCCGTGGTACATAGAATCTTTTCACCTATCAAAAAACAAGCCTGGAGCTACCATCCACGATTTACGCTGGTCACAAACCATACTTTATGTCACCAGTAAGAACGAACACTGCATCAACTACGCACCTGTATCTCCGAAAAGCAGGTGATCGTAAATCGTTGGACGATAGAATCTCACCGATGATGCCGCCATTCACCACCAAGCACTCTCATCATGCCGATGATGCAAGTAGCACATCGTCCAATGAATTAGGTACGGGAAACTTCTCTCACCAACTAGATGTGCAAGGTATTGTAGGACATTTTTCAAGTCGTAGTGATCTTTTCACACTTCTGCTCATCAATACACACTCGTTGCCAAGGCAAATTTCTGACTTGAGAACGGCAGTCTTACTCACTAAACCTACAGCAATATCGGTCGCTGAATGAAGGTGCCCTACCTCAGTCTTTGATGTGGACCTGTGCACAGGCAGTCATGCTCTCTATCACACTGACGGGGCTCATAAGCCTGGAATAGGTTGCCTGATTCAGATATTTAGTCTTGCTACACCTAATAAGGTTGAAGCGGGGTATTAAATGCCCTCCCTGATTCACTGTGGGTTATCATAAGCGGCACTAACTGCAAAATCCTCGTCCATCAAAAGAAACTGATGAGCTTGTTGCTCAGTTATTCTTCCATGCTGCATCCATTAGCGCTGACTTCAAACTGATTGCAGGAGACTTCAACCTCCCTGAAGTTAACTGAGAAACCGGCTGTGGCCCACAAGGCTGTGACGAGATACCTACCGTCTTGGATTTCCGCGGGTGGAAACAATATGTCCATTCACTGACACGTGTAGGCAGTAGGCTGGATCTGATCTTTTGCCTTGACGTCGTCCCAGTTACCACGCGCGCTGGTGCTGGAGTTGCTAACGGTGACCACAGAATGGCTTCCTGTTGCCTATCAATCTTTCCTCTTCGTGAGGAGAACAAGGAACCTACAAGAAATATTTTGTGTCGTAGCTGAAAAAGTACGGAATGGGAGGTATTCATCCAGCTCTTCAGGTGCAGCCGTTGGATGGACACTTCGCAACAGCCCCATTAACAGAACCACTTTCATTTTTCTATGGAAATATAACGCTATGTTTAAATATCGTTGCTCCTATGAGAAAAGTTGAGGTAAAAACAATGAGGACCGATTCACGCCTCGAATGCTCCGCAACAAGCTATGGAAACTATCCGTGCTATATCACTCCTCTAAAGACTTTGTCCCGTCGCACTCCACCTACGATACTTATTAAGCATTTAAGACCTTACGTGCATGAGACTCAATAAATGAAGAGCTTGATGCCCTCAAAAGTGGTTCTAGGATATACAGTTTGACCTCTCTTTTGAATAGGCGTTTGCAGTCATCAAGAGACATAGCTGATTTATTGCACAATGGGATGGTCTGCAACGACGCCCCTGGAATGTTTAAACTATTTAATGAATCGTTCGCAAGATTCAGTCTTAGAAAACTTAACCCCACCACGTGTGCACTACTTACTTCAGGTTCGTGCGCCAGTGTGGATTTTGTCGTCAGAAGTGTGGCTATCAACAGGTGTGGGCACAGACAATCAAACCCAATCGTCATCACAAACAGTAGCGACGATATGTCTCTGTTCCTGCCTAAGATATTCACTCCATCAATGGATAGTGGCGCATACCCCACTGAATTAAAAGCTAGCTACATAACGCCTTCAGAGACAAATCGAGCTTCACTAATCACAGACCTACCAACACAACACCGGTTCTCTTTAGAATTATGTAAAAAGTAATTTAGAGCAGCGTCTCTGATTACTTACTAGCAGAAAACCTAATCACAAAGTTTCAGCATGGTTTCATGAAGAATAGGTCCTGCATTGCTTGCCATTTCGACTTCTTCAGCCTCGTCATTGGTAACAGTGAGGCACGTAAAATCGTCACTGTCCCACACTTCGATATACCAAAGGCATTTAATGAGGTGTCTCGCAATATACTCCTTAATAGGCTACAATCGATTGGTGTTCGTGACCCCATACTTAGTCGGATGAAATCATTTCTTAGTTATCGTACTCAAACCATGAAACTAAACTCCATCGAGCCTGAACCTAAGCATATAACTAGTGGAGTTATGCAGTGTCCTCGGGCCCTTGTTGTTCACAATTTGCATCAGCAGTGCGTGTAACTGCTTCAGTGAAGGTAACACATTCCTGCACGCCAATGGCTTGAAGGTTGTGCACACACTTTTGCTCTCATGAACTGTGTACCAACCTGCATACTGCCCAGCAGGAGCCAAGTAAACTTGCGTCATAGTTTGTAGAGTCCCACCGTGGATTCGATGGTTAGCTTAGTATGGAAAAGAATAACCCCGACCTAACCCTTGAGGTATGTGAAAAACAGCTGCCCAGACACTCTTCTGTGCTAATCTTGACATCAGATATTCTGGTGACATGAAAC